CGAATGCCCTTCTCTCCAAGTTTCATTGGACATAAGGCATTGGAGGGCAAATGATAGGTCAAGCCCAAGGGCCCAACCCACATTGTAAGCCCAATTTAAATTAAGAGTCCAACTTATAGAGATCTAATATCCAGCTCAAAAAGGTCTACGCCCGGTAAAACTTGACAAGGGAGTATGCAGGGTCATCTAAGAGTCTCATTCACGCCGCCTTAAAAAGAGTCAACCCCCACGTCATCCTTTGATCAAATCTTATTGAGAGCACCATAACTATCTCGCCCGTTGAGAAGAAGACATCAACTCCACCAGATTAGCCACTTAGTTACTAATAACTCGCCCTAATCTGTTATGAGGCGATTATAAATTGTAAACCCCGCTAACACTTGGAGGGCGTTACACTTAATTGAGCACAATTCTTCTATCTCTCTCAGCTTGTATCTCTCACTCTCTCTACACACTTAAAGTAATAAAATATTACGGCGACCCTAGCCATTCAGAGTGGACGTATGCCACATTGGCCGAACCACCATAAATCCTTGACTTGCTTGTGGGTGTGTCTCTCTCTCACTTCTTAATTACTGCATTTATTACTGCTCATGTGACAAGTGGTGTACAAACTCAATTTGTGCATCATCAATGCCCTTTGGATTGACTTTGGACCCATTAAATATTAGAATTTGATATTAATCTAATGATTTCAATGAATTCACATCATTAAGTCAACAAATTAGTTCAAATTTTTAAGTTTAAATAATATTACTCTTCTATTAAATAAGTTTTAATAGATAAAATATTAAGCTTAGTAAAATAAAAAGATAAAATTTCAAATCATGGAGCTGTGCAAAATCCACTACTATTTGACTTTACAAATTCTTTGTTTTTTTTAATCTAAATTAGGGTGGCGTGACTATGTTATTATTGCTAGAATTAAATGTCATAAAATGCATAAATATTTTTTTATTCTAATATTATCCGATTAGGTTAGATGGCAGAATAAGTGAGCGGGAAAATAAACGAAAAAATTTAAAAAATAAATAATTCTAAGAACAATTGTTCGTCTTCCTAATTCTCATGTTCCTCGAATAGATCTCTTAGTTGTTGAGAAGGTTACCCAAAAGTTGTATATAAGGAGTACCCAATAAAATTTATAAGTAAACTAGATATAAAGATGGTGACTAATGTTTTTGTTTCTATTACAGTATTATATAGTTTCAAAACTACAGTAGATCTATAACAAGATTGTTTATTTACAAGAAAAGATAGCTATTTAAAGCCATGTATGATTCAAATGGTTCAGTTTCTATATGTTTTTTTGGGGGAAGTCTTGAGTTATCGACTTCAAGAAGATAAAGTCTTCTTAAAGCAAGAAAGACAATTAGACCAAAGCAAGGCCCTTGGTTATATTATGTACTCATATACTAAAGACAGAAGAAAACCTCATACATTCAATGGACAATGATGATGGAAAAGTAGCTATTTAAAGCATACGAATTTTCAAGTATGTTTGGTAAAATGGTTCGACTTCTAAATGTGCAAGTGATATATTCAATTCCCATTGAATGCGGAAGATGAGGAAGCCAGCATACGGAGGGTGAAGTGTTTTAAATTCATAATTTGAATATTAAATAATGAAAGACATAAGAATAATTGAGACATTTAAGTAGAGAAGGACATAATAGCCTTTATAGTATTTTTTATTTTATTGGTATAAAATTAAAAATTAAAATATTTCATGATAAAATATATTTTATAGTAGTATAGATAGATATTAAATATAGATATGTGTGTATAGATAGATTAATTAACTAATGTAGCGTATGGTAACTAGTTGTTTGTGTTTTTTTTTTATTTTTGTTTTCATTTTTAGCTAAAAAAAACAATAATGTGTTTGAGATGCGTTTTCGTTTTTTTTAAACTATATTGTTTTAAAAACAAGGTTCAAAACTATAAACACAAAAAAATAATATTTTTGAAAACATCTAAAATTGAAAACACGCGTGTGCATCCCATTATCAATTAATGAGGTACAACCTTCAAAATTTAATAGCAACAATATGAGATTTTTTTTTGTGGCAATTATAAAACCCCCTTTTCCTCATTTTTTTTCCCTGTCTCTTTCCCTCATTTGTCTCTCTCTATCGCTTGTCTCGCTCTCTCGATGCCTCCTCTGAAATCCATTGTCACGAAGATGAAGAGGTGCCTCTTTTTGAAACCCACTATCACGAAGATAAAGATGAAGACGAGAAGATAAAGACAAAATCAAACACAAAGACAAAGCTTACACATTGATATCTCTCTCTCTATATATATATAGGCATAGATCTACATATATGTTGTTATATAATTATAGATTTACATGTGTGTATATTTATTTGTGTTTATGTGTGTTTATGCGCTGTATATATGAATCTGTGTATATGTATGTGTGTCTGTGTGTAATTTGTGGAAATATATTTGTGTAATTGCGTTTATATATGTGTATATGTGTGTGTGTACCAGCGAGATCATCTCGTGTGTGTATGTCTGCAAGATCATCTCGTGTGTGTGTGTGTGTTCCGACAAGAATGTCTCGAAGTGGGGCATTTATTTAGAACTAAAATATTAATCAAAATAACAACAATAAAATATTATCTAAAATATATAATATCAAACATGTTTTCAATTTTTGTTTTTATAATTTTTTAAATATAAATGACTACTAAACATATTTTTTATTTTTTATTTTTATCGCAGAAAAAATAAAAATTAGTTCTATTTTTTTAATTAAAAAAAAACTTAAAGACGACAACGTCACTAAACACACCCTAATTAATGTAGCACTAATATAATTTTATACAATTGTTTGAGGGTATTTATGATATTTTTTTTGAGTTTAGTAGCTTTTTAGGAGTAGTATAAATAGATATAAATATAGATTGTGTTTTTTTTTTTAAATTCTTTTACCATAATTTTTTAATTTTGCACTTTGAATATCTTTTACAATTTCACTTTCTTTGAGTTTTGTTTTTCTTACATTTTGTTGTATAGATTGTAACAGGGGCAGTGCTTCTTAAATTTCTAGGTATATGCTCCGACTATAACAAAGTAATATCCTATTGGATTAAAATTAATTAATGATTAATAATAAAATAACTAATTAATAAAAATTTAAATTAATTCTCAATAATACTCAGTAACAAATGAATATCTGTCTAGAGAATATGAAATTATAATATTTTTAAAAATTATATGTTAAAAAAATTTATTTGGAGTTAATTAAAAGTTAATTTATAAACAAAATAGAATAATGCTAGATAGAGTTAAAAACTAGACTTCATAATCTCGACCAGTGAAATCAATGGTTGAGATTATCAAATCTACTTTTTAAATTTATGTAGTATTGCTCAACAAAATATAGTATTATATTAAATAGGTTAAAGACAAAATAGTCAATTGTACCATATTTCATTACATTTCTCCATTAATGTAACAAAAGTGCTTATGTATTTTCCAAACACTTAAAATGATACTAGAATTTAACCATTAAATTAAGTGAATTTAGGTTGAATAAAAAAAAATATTTTTTTAGATGTCCAATTCAGTGTAACTGTGCCATCCAAAAATATCCCAAATTCTTTTTTTTTTTTGGTTAGGAAATAAAAAACATATCCCAAATTCTAGCGCCAGAGATCTGAAGGTTTAGGGTTTTTGCTGTGTTTTCTCAAACCTTTTGTGAATCGAAACATCTCCGATGGCTTCTCCTCCGGGACCTTATTCTGGAACCAGCACCCTAGGTTTGGTAATTATTTATATATATATATATATATATATATCGTGTGATATAGCATTTGAATTGTTCTGATTTGGGGTTACACTGATCTCGGTGTTTGTGGATGGCAGGTGGCTCCTGTTTCGGCTTTCTCATTGGGACTCGTCTACGGAAGCATCAAATTGAAGTATCTTAAGGTACTATCCCTCTTCCATATTTTCCAATTTCATCAATAATCATAATAAGAAATCCATTTCTTATGCTTTACGAGTTATCTGGAATGAATTTTACCTCTTTCTCTCGTTATCTTCAATAATGTATTTTGGATTTAGGGTTCTAATATATCAAATGCACACTTCGTTGCGAATTTCTTCAGTTTGGGAGTAAATCTGTTTGTTTAATTCGTCTTACCGGAAACCTGTTTGCTTAATTGTTGTACTTGAATAATGAGCTAATTTCTAATTTGAGGTGGACAAGTCAATTTTTGTAAGGGTTGGGCTTTTCATCCTTGAGATTTTTGTTTTCCGCATATATGCTTTTCCGATCGTTGGTAAGACACCATAATCTGGTATTGGAGGAGTGTCTTGATTGTTAACCAATTACTTGTGAGTGCATTGTGGTTTGGCCAAACAAAAGAATAATACTCTGATCTTCATTGATTGAACTTCGTTGTTTTGTCATTATGCGGCCAAATGTGTAATTTAGTCATGTCGAGACTCTGCTTGTGTTTGTCCCTACAAATGAATAGGAATTCTTTTGGTCTTGCTTCATTTATGCTCTTTTAGAGGTTTCATATTTGATTACTCTAGCCAAAATTTTCGAACTTGGAGAAGTAACATCGGAATTATATATGTAAAACATGTGATAGGGCTCAGGATGAATATAACATGTGGAAAAAACTTCTTGTTCCTTGAATATGGTGGCTGTTAGCTGTANAATAACATTATTTTTGTTATCTCTAGGCACGTTTTTGAAACTTAGGGCGTCTGCAACCCTATCAGACTACATTAGATTGAATGTCAATAATCAGGCCTTAACCATCTTGCATCGGCGCCTCGTTGCCGCAACACTTTCGTGCTTAACACCTAGCGCAAACAAGGCTTGCCCGTGCTAGCTCCCCTGCTCCTGACACCAGTGCTATGGATGCCTCTCTAGCTGCGCCTAGCCCCATGGGTGCCTTTCTTGTGTGCCTAGCCAGCACAACAGCCCTTCTTGAGCGCCCAGCTAGCACACCCGCCTCCCTTGGGCACATCAATTATGCCTCCACAACACCCAAGTCTGGCGCCTCTTCCCTTGCTTCAGCTGCATGGACATAATGAACAACGCCCATCAATGGTGCCTCCATAGTACCCATCAACGGCGCCTCCACACAGATGCCCAAATCTGGCGCCTTGTCTTTGTAACTAGCGGCCTGGGTCGCCTTGGTCATCCCAGTCTTGGCACCCAGTGCCTCCTTCACTCCACCTCGCGTTCCTATTCCTTTATTCAACATTTGGGCACTCCACTCGAGAATTTTACTCTTTACCTTGGTTCTTGAAAAATCTCACAGATGGCTCTCTCTCAATGTTGTGTGAAATGAAGAAGTGAAAACAAAAATCCCTAATTTATAACCTAGGGCTCTTCAAGAATCCAAAAGGGAAAGTAAAAGAAGGAGTTTATATAATTAATGATGTCCTGCAGGCAAAAAGAGTTTACAGGAAGGGAGTCGCCTATCAAAAGGAGTCTCCAAGAAATCCAAGTTCAGGGAGGGTTGATTGACTGTAAATTTTGATCCGTTTCTCTAAATGGGGATTATAATATATCAAATCGAAGCTCTTGGTGAGCCCTACATGACCTAGAAAAATATATTTTGGCCTCCCAAAGTTTTTTCAGTTGTGTGTTCAGCCANATGGGGATTATAATATATCAAATCGAAGCTCTTGGTGAGCCCTACAGGACCTAGAAAAATATATTTTGGCCTCCCAAAGTTTTTTCAGTTGTGTGTTCAGCCAAAATTCAAATTTAATCGAATGCCCTTCTCTCCAAGTTTCATTGGACATAAGGCATTGGAGGGCAAATGATAGGTCAAGCCCAAGGGCCCAACCCACATTGTAAGCCCAATTTAAATTAAGAGTCCAACTTATAGAGATCTAATATCCAGCTCAAAAAGGTCTACGCCCGGTAAAACNAATTTCATTGGACATAAGGCATTGGAGAGCAAATGATAGGTCAAGCCCAAGGGCCCAACCTACATTGTAAGCCCAGTTTAAATTAAAAGTCCAACTTATAGAGATCTAATATCCAGCTCAAAAAGGTCTACGCCCGGTAAAACTTGACAAGGGAGTATGCAGGGTCATCTAAGAGTCTCATTCACGCCGTCTTAAAAAGAGTCAACCCCCACGTCATCCTTTGATCAAATCTTATTGAGAGCACCATAACTATCTCGCCCGTTGAGAAGAAGACGTCAACTCCACCAGATTAGCCACTTAGTTACTAATAACTCGCCCTAATCTGTTATGAGGCGATTATAAATTATAAACCCCGCTAACACTTGGAGGGCGTTACACTTAATTGAGCACAATTCTTCTATCNCATCAACTCCACCAGATTAGCCACTTAGTTACTAATAACTCGCCCTAATCTGTTATGAGGCGATTATAAATTGTAAACCCCGCTAACACTTGGAGGGCGTTACACTTAATTGAGCACAATTCTTCTATCTCTCTCAGCTTGTATCTCTCACTCTCTCTACACACTTAAAGTAATAAAATATTACGGCGACCCTAGCCATTCAGAGTGGACGTATGCCACATTGGCCGAACCACCATAAATCCTTGACTTGCTTGTGGGTGTGTCTCTCTCTCACTTCTTAATTACTGCATTTATTACTGCTCATGTGACAAGTGGTGTACAAACTCAATTTGTGCATCATCAATGCCCTTTGGATTGACTTTGGACCCATTAAATATTAGAATTNGAGACCTTAGCCATTCAGAGTGGACGTATGCCACATTGGCCGAACCACCATAAATCCTTGACTTGCTTGTGGGTGTGTCTTTCTCTCACTTCTTAATTACTGCATTTATTACTGCTCATGTGACAAGTGGTGTACAANGCGACCCTAGCCATTCAGAGTGGACGTATGCCACATTGGCCGAACCACCATAAATCCTTGACTTGCTTGTGGGTGTGTCTCTCTCTCACTTCTTAATTACTGCATTTATTACTGCTCATGTGACAAGTGGTGTACAAACTCAATTTGTGCATCATCAATGCCCTTTGGATTGACTTTGGACCCATTAAATATTGGAATTTGATATTAATCTAATTATTTCAATGAATTCACATCATTAAGTCAACAAATTAGTTCAAATTTTTAAGTTTAAATAATATTACTCTTCTATTAAATAAGTTTTAATAGATAAAATATTAAGCTTAGTAAAATAAAAAGATAAAATTTCAAATCATGGAGCTGTGCAAAATCCACTACTATTTGACTTTACAAATTCTTTGTTTTTTTTTTAATCTAAATTAGGGTGGCGTGACTATGTTATTATTGCTAGAATTAAATGTCATAAAATGCATAAATATTTTTTTATTCTAATATTATCCGATTAGGTTAGATGGCAGAATAAGTGAGCGGGAAAATAAATGGAAAAATGTAAAAAATAAATAATTCTAAGAACAATTATTCGTCTTCCTAATTCTCATGTTCCTCGAATAGATCTCTTAGTTGTTGAGAAGGTTACCCAAAAGTTGTATATAAGGAGTACCCAATAAAATTTATAAGTAAACTAGATATAAAGATGGTGACTAATGTTTTTGTTTCTATTACAGTATTATATAGTTTCAAAACTACAGTAGACCTATAGCAAGATTGTTTATTTACAAGAAAAGATAGCTATTTAAAGCCATGTATGATTCAAATGGTTCAGTTTCTATATGTTTTTTTGGGGGGAAGTCTTGAGTTATTGACTTCAAGAAGATAAAGTCTTCTTAAAGCAAGAAAGACAATTAGACCAAAGCAAGGCCCTTGGTTATATTATGTACTCATATACTAAAGACAGAAGAAAACCTCATACATTCAATGGACAATGATGATGGAAAGGTAGCTATTTAAAGCATACGAATTTTCAAGTGTGTTTGGTAAAATGGTTCGACTTCTAAATGTGCAAGTGATATATTCAATTCCCATTGAATGCGGAAGATGAGGAAGCCAGCATACGGAGGGTGAAGTGTTTTAAATTCATAATTTGAATATTAAATAATGAAAGACATAAGAATAATTGAGACATTTAAGTAGAGAAGGACATAATAGCCTTTATAGTATTTTTTATTTTATTGGTATAAAATTAAAAATTAAAAAATTTCATGATAAAATATATTTTATAGTAGTATAGATAGATATTAAATATAGATACGTGTGTATAGATAGATTAATTAACTAATGTAGCGTATGGTAACTAGTTGTTTGTGTTTTTTTTTTATTTTTGTTTTCATTTTTAGCTAAAAAAAACAATAATGTGTTTGAGATGCGTTTTCGTTTTTTTTAAACTATATTGTTTTAAAAACAAGGTTCAAAACTATAAACACAAAAAAATAATATTTTTGAAAACATCTAAAATTGAAAACACGCTCGTGCATCCCATTATCAATTAATGAGGTACAACCTTCAAATTTCAATAGCAACAATATGAGATTTTTTTTGTGGTAATTATAAAACCCCCTTTTCCTCATTTTTTTTCCCTGTCTCTTTCCCTCATTTGTCTCTCTCTATCGCTTGTCTCGCTCTCTCGATGCCTCCTCTGAAATCCATTGTCACGAAGATGAAGAGGTGCCTCTTTTTGAAACCCACTATCACGAAGATAAAGATGAAGACGAGAAGATAAAGACAAAATCAAACACAAAGACAAAGCTTACACATTGATATCTCTCTCTCTATATATATATAGGCATAGATCTACATATATGTTGTTATATAATTATAGATTTACATGTGTGTATATTTATTTGTGTTTATGTGTGTTTATGCGCTGTATATATGAATCTGTGTATATGTATGTGTGTCTGTGTGTAATTTGTGGAAATATATTTGTGTAATTGCGTTTATATATGTGTATATGTGTGTGTGTACCAGCGAGATCATCTCGTGTGTGTATGTCTGCAAGATCATCTCGTGTGTGTGTGTGTGTTCCGACAAGAATGTCTCGAAGTGGGGCATTTATTTAGAACTAAAATATTAATCAAAATAACAACAATAAAATATTATCTAAAATATATAATATCAAACATGTTTTTATAATTTTTTAAATATAAATGACTACTAAACATATTTTTTATTTTTAATTTTTATCGCAGAAAAAATAAAAATTAGTTCTATTTTTTTAATTAAAAAAAAACTTAAAAACGACAACGTTACTAAACACACCCTAATTAATGTAACACTAATATAATTTTATACAATTGTTTGAGGGTATTTATGATATTTTTTTTGAGTTTAGTAGCTTTTTAGGAGTAGTATAAATAGATATAAATATAGATTGTGTTTTTTTTTAAATTCTTTTACCATAATTTTTTAATTTTGCACTTTGAATATCTTTTACAATTTCACTTTCTTTGAGTTTTGTTTTTCTTACACTTTGTTGTATAGATTGTAACAGGGGCAGTGCTTCTTAAATTTCTAGGTATATGCTCTGACTCTAATAAAGTAATATCCTATTGGATTAAAATTAATTAATGATTAATAATAAAATAACTAATTAATAAAAATTTAAATTAATTCTCAATAATACTCAGTAACAAATGAATATCTGTCTAGAGAATATGAAATTATAATATTTTTAAAAATTATATGTTAAAAAAATTTATTTGGAGTTAATTAAAAGTTAATTTATAAACAAAATAGAATAATGCTAGATAGACTTAAAAAACTAGACTTCGTAATCTCGATCAGTGAAATCAATGGTTGAGATTATCAAATCTACTTTTTAAATTCATGTAGTATTGCTCAACAAAATATAGTATTGTATTAAATAGGTTAAAGACAAAATAGTCAATTGTACCATATTTCATTTCATTTCTCCATTAATGTAACAAAAGTGCTTATGTATTTTCCAAACACTTAAAATGATACTAGAATTTAACCATTAAATTAAGTGAATTTAGGTTGAATAAAAAAAAATATTTTTTTAGATGTCCAATTCAGTGTAACTGTGCCATCCAAAAATATCCCAAATTCTTTTTTTTTTT